AGAAGCGCTAAAGGAAGATCTCCAGTGGAAGGACGGGGGATTGAGCAGCAGACGCCAATCAGAACAATGATCGATGCAATTGCCATCAATCGAAGATTGAATGGCGATTGATACAAAATCCGAACAAAAGAGACACAAGGAGAGGAGTGATGAATATTCTTGCTCGATGGTGACAGTGGACTCCTTGATGTCCCAAAATCACTATTGGAATCAAGAGGGATTGTACTCAAAGGAGAGGTTTCACTCTCTCTATTGGATTTCAGCGAAATTTTGACGTCGGTGGGATCGAATTCTGAATATGCTGCATTGAATCTATTTTTATCCTCCCATTCATTGGAAAGCAATTGATTATTTATTCCTTGAACGAGTGTAGGAAAAAGTTGAAGTGGATACTCATAAGCTGTTGGGATTCCAACATTTGGGATTCCCGAAACTTTATTTTTATAAGAACTAAGAGGGTCCTCATTTCGAAGTTGATGATACTTAGAGTGATTCGAAGGAAAACAGTTCCATTGGAAAGACCTCCATTTAATCGGCGGCAGGCTCAAATCGCTGCATTTTTGATGTTTCATGCCTAATATGAACAGGGCTCATAGCAACCAGGTGCGAGCAACAAAGATAGAGACCACAAAGTGATCAATCTATGCACAACATTCACAGACAGGACCTGGTGCATGTTAGGTGCAAATCCCTGTCCATTCTTCATATTTTTCTGTCATGCCCGAAGCTCGAGTCAACTCGGATGGTACCTGCGCTCCCCGCCCAAGGCAGCTCTCCTTGCATCGACCGAATCATTATCCGGAGGGACTTCTCAATAATTCGGACCCAGCATCAATCTTGACAAACCCGCACTACAACAAAGGAACGGCTTTTACGGCAGAGGAACGCAAGGTCCTCCATCTTGAAGGTCTTCTTCCAAGTGAGAACGTAACAAAGTCGCACTGTTTTTAGCTTTCAGTGTTAATTTCCGTTTCTCTTTGTTTAGGTGTCGTTGAAAACATGGAAACTCAGATAAAGCGATGTTACAATCAATTCAACCGTTTCACTGTTCCGATGTCAAAACACATCTACTTGGATTCGTTGAGGGAAAGAAACGAAACATTGTTCTATCGAGTAAGGTTCATTAATTAAGGATCTGTTAACATTGAGCTGATTGAATGTATTGAAATATTTATTTGTTGGTTACACAGATGCACACTTTTTTCTTTTTAGCTGATTTCGGACAACCTTGCGGAGATGATGCCCTACATTTACACTCCTACTGTTGGACAAGCTTGTTTGGAATATGGACTCCAATTCCGACACGCTGAAGGTATTGGATGGATACTTGAGCGATAATCAAACTAGAGTCTCGCTGTGAAAGAGGTACTAAACAAAATTTTTCTTGTAGGGATGTACATCTCGCAAAACGACAAGGGACAGATTCGCAGGATTCTAGACAATTGGAAGCCTAACGTCATCGGTGAAGTCTCCATCATTGTGGTGACCGACGGATCTCGCATTCTTGGATTGGGTGATCTTGGAGCGTGTGGAATGGGAATCCCTGTCGGAAAATTGTCGCTTTATGTCGCAGCGGGGGGATTTCATCCAGCGACGACCCTTCCTGTTGTCATCGATGCAGGAACAAATAATCAAGTGAGAAATCCTTTCTCGTATTTCTTGAAGTTGATCGGATTCTTTTTAAGTCCCTCCTCAAGGATGAGTTTTATTTGGGACAACGCCAACCTCGTCTTGCTGATCCAGAATATTACGCCTTGGTGGATGAGTTTATGAGCGCTGTGAAGGATAAATGGTCGAGTGCTCTTCTTCAGTTTGAAGATTTTTCAAATAATCACTGCTTTGACTTGTTGGAAAAATATAGAAACAAACAGTTATGTTTCAACGATGATATCCAAGGCACTGGCGCGGTGATCGCAGCTGGATTCTTGAATGCGCTGAAGATCACGAAAACTCTGCCTCGTGATTGCAGGTACGAAATCTTTGGAGTGAAGAAGTTGGCAATGTCTTGATCGGTGTCACCAAAAGTTGATTGGATTGTGTTTTTTGCAGAATCTTGTTTCTTGGTGCTGGTGCTGCAGGGATTGGTGTTGCAGATCAAATCGGTCGTGGCCTACAGCAGCGCTACAACTTATCGAGAGAGGAGTGTTTTCCACTGTTTTTCATGGTTGATTCTAAGGGACTCGTCACACGCCATAGAGGTGACGAGTTAGCATCATTCAAGGTGCCTTATGCACGTCAAGACATCAAGGAAAATGTTGTCGACCTGTTGGATATCGTGAAACTTGTCAAGCCAACGGCATTGATTGGACTATCAGGGCAGCCAGGAGCGTTCACTAATGACGTTCTTAGGGTCATGGCTGCAGTAAATAAGAAGCCGATCGTGTTCCCGTTGTCAAATCCAACCAACAAGGCGGAATGTTCTTTCAAAGATGCATTTGAGATCTCGGACGGGCGAGTTGTTTTTGCCTCAGGGTCGCCTTTTGACCCAATTACATCAGAAGGAAAGACATACGTCCCTAGCCAGGGCAACAACTTATATACATTCCCGGGTCTTGGATATGGAGCCTGGCTTTGCAAAGCAAAGAAGGTGACAGATGAAATGGTCACAGCGGCAACTCTCGCCTTGGCGGATTCGGCAACAGCAGAAGATTTAGAGAGTGGATGTCTGTATCCATGCCTCTCTTCTGTTCGTGAAATAACAGCAACAGTCGCTGCGCGTGTGATCCAATGCGCTATAGATCAAGGGGTCGCCGGCGCGAATCAACTTCCAAAAGACTTGGTTCGCTACGTCAAGCGTCATCGGTACAATCCTTGTTATCTCGAGTGGGGTGAATCAGAGGAAGGGAGCCAAGAATGATCCTGTGTTGCGTACGTTTGTAGTTATTTACTTTGTCTTTCTGGTTTTTTTCCGATTTTTATCCTTTTCGCGCCTCTGTTTTCCGCTTTTGGTATCTTTACATTATTTTTTTGATTCGTGTCAACAAGACATCAATTTTTGATAAAACTCAAGCCCAACCACGTTGTCGTTCGCGAACAAGGAAGCCATAGAGATCAGCCAAAGAGACCAACTTGTCATTGTACGTCGCCTCGAGCCTGAATCGAGAAGTAGAACTCTGCTTCAATCCCCAACCCAACCTTTGCTGCAAAGTTGAGACTTTGTCCACCAGAACGTCAAATCCCTTTTGCACCTCCTCTCTCTGCGCGCCAAACATTAGTGCCACAATCCGCAGTCAAAGTAATCTAACCTTCCTGCTCATATCGAGAGCCCTGCAAAGAAGTTCACGATGGCCAGTTCTAACCGTGTGCACCAACCGATGACCTTCGCCAAGAATTTCATCGAGCTGCCGACGAGTCTCCCATCTGAAATGATGGATCTGAATCTGTGAAAGCCGAAAATTGTTTACGGTGAGTCAATAGTTATTTCTGGATGGATATTGATGACACTGTAGGGCTTGTACGAGATGCTTGAAAGCTCAGGGAACCCCCTGTGACGAATGGCTAATGTGTTTGTCAAGAGAGCATTTGTGACAACCAAGAAAACCTGAATCTTCATAAGCAATTCATCGAACAAAAAATTGCCAAAAGCAGTTCTATTTTTACATTTTAGCTTTTTCCTGTTTTAGAAAATCAGCTAGTGAACCTGAAGAATGAAACGAGTACGTCTTAACGACGATGACACCAAAGAGTGCGGGGAAGGGTTCGCGGCCGCGTTCAAACAGAAAAAGGTTGAAACTGAGTGAGAACAACGAGGGAATCAGGCCGGATAAAAGCGACGCAGCCAAAAATAGAAAGAAACACACCAAGAACGTTGTCAAGCCTGAAGCAGTGAAGTCGCTAGAGGTGCACCATTATCACTTGCTGACTGACCAAGAAGTCGACACCTTGAGAGTGGAGCTATTGAGATGGTTTTCGGACTGCAGACGAAGGCTTCCCTGGTAGAGCCTCCGAGAGACAAATGGTGTATTGTTTCTTCTCAGGAGAGGCGATCCGCCACCGTACACGTCAACAGACAAAACGCGAGGCAGCTCAGCGAAGCAAAAGGGACACGGGCTTTTAAAATGGATGGTGCCTGCAAATAGTCAACAAACTGAGGCCCAAGAGCCTTTAACTGCTGCAACCCCTCCTCGTCTATCGCCCTATGGAATTTGGGTCAGTGAAGTGATGCTGCAGCAAACTCAAGTAGCCGTCGTCATTCCGTACTGGTTGAGGTGGTGAGCATCTACCTTTCTTACAACCAACGAGCCAAGCCCATTTAAATCAGGATGAATGAATTTCCAACAATAAGACACCTCTCCCAAGCAACACAAGAGGATGTGCGCCGTCTCTGGGCTGGACTTGGTGAGATTTTATACGTTGGACCACTAGCTGACGAGGGTCTTGGTTGTAGGATATTACGGAAGGGCTGTCAGGCTGCTTGAAGCAGCACGGATGCTTACTGCCGAGTGGGATCGGAAACGAATCAAGCCTGAGGTTTCGGAATCCCCAAGCATCACTAGAATGGAGAAAAAAGAGATCTCTGTCAAGCTGGAAGGAGCTCTGGATGATATCGAAGATATCGGAACCCAAATTAGAGCATCTGGGACAATGTTTGGGACAGAGAAGAGGGAGAAAGTGTCGCCAAGTGATGAGGAAGTTTATCCTCTTGATATCCAAGACTGGTTGAAATACCCTGGAGTTGGTGAATATACAGCTGGTGCTATTCTCTCAATTGGATTCGGTGTGAATGTTCCAGCCGTCGACGGAAATGTGATAAGGTAATGCCTTCCCAATGGAGGAAACGGTTTTTTCGTTTTACTGTGTTCCATTTCTTCAGAGTTTTTAGCAGAATTTCCGGTTTTGCAGCTCCTTCTGATTCTTCCCTCCTTTTCAAAACGATTCATCATTTGGCGTCACGATGGGTTTCGCCGTCACAACCCGGAATGTTTAATCAAGCATTAATGGATCTTGGAGCCTCTATTTGCACTCCAAGATCTCCAAACTGTGGAATTTGTCCTATTAGACAAATTTGTAAGACGCGAGTGGAAGTCGATTACAGCAATCTTGATCCTCCTCTTGAAGCTTCAGTAATCGATCCACGAGAGAGATTCCATCCCTCGACGCAAGAAACCTGTGGAGTGTGTGTCCCTCAACAAAATACGTCAGCAAAGAGGGCAGATGAGTATCCATTACCAAAATTGAAGAGTCCCAATAAGAAAGAATTAAAATCTGGAGAAAAGGTTATTCGTATCCAAAAGTTAAACGCCTTTATTATCTACTCTGTTGACTCGCTGCAATCGTTCAGGGTCTTGCTTCTCCAACGTCCGAAAACTGGTCTTCTTGCGTCTGATTGGGCACCCGTAATTGTCGAGGATGAGAGAAAGGAAAGATACTTGGAAGAAGTTCTTGATCTATTGAATCTTAAGAAAAAAAAGAAGAAACACGAGCTTCAATCGCTGGGCCAGTGCAAACATGTGTTCTCTCATATCGTCCATGAGGTCGCAATCTGGGCTGTTGAATGTGAACAGAACACAGTGTTCAACAAAACGAGTGAAGCCCAACAAGAAAACTCTTTGGTGACAAAGTGGGTGGAATTGTCATTGAGTGTAGGACTGAGCGACCAGCTAGCAAAACTCGGTCACGTCTCTAAATACGTCGAGAAGATGATGGTTCCATTTTTGGAATTTCGCAGTAGTTCTTACATTGAATAGATTCGCTAGGAGAAAGAAACATTTATGTTGAAATATGGGAGTCAAAAAAACACGGAAGAATCGATAAGAACTATTGCTGAGGGAAACAGTCTTCAAGACACGACTTTGGGTGTTTGCTGCTCACATGTTGCTCCAGGGTCGACTTGTTCACTGTGCACATAAATGATTGCTTACAGATTGAACAAATAGTTGTCAAATTTTTATCTTTTTGCTTCAGCGTACTGTTTCCCTCTTGCGGCCCTTTTTCCTTCCGCTTTGAGGCGCGATCCCGATTCACATCCTTTGATTTCCTCTCGTCATCCTAAAATCTGACACTCTTCTGGTCCAGGAGAGGTGGGTTGCTTTGTGAAGCACACTGCTCAGCAATTCCGTAGTCGACGTTTCTGAGCCACAAATGTCCCTGTTCAGAAACACCCCGTATTTCAGATTTCTCTTATCTTCCTTACAAGCAGTTGTCGACTCGTCGGTCTTTTCGCTGGATTCTTTGTCAAAATCTGTCGCAAAAAATCCCTGCATTCTGCGCTAAGTGTCTCATAAATTTCTTGAGGAAATTGGAATTCCGCTTCAGCAATTATTTGAAACAGCTTCTATGCACAAATATGTGTTCATCAATCAGCATTTCGCAATCCCACCTCCAAACCAATTGAATAGAAGGGAACCTTTCCGAACAGAAGACAATACAGTGTTATTCCCAATGACCAAATATCAGCTGCATGCCCATCATGTCCCACATAGAGAGCGTCATCCTCGTGGTCCTGGGTACATTCGGGTGGAAGAAACAAATAAGTGCCTTCAGTTCCTCGAACATTTCCACAATCGTCTAGCTTTGAAGCAGCACCAAAGTCACCTGATCGGAACTCAATATGAATTTCCTATGAAATCACAGAATTACACTTGTCACCTAATTTGACCCGTCCCTTGCTATCGAGAAGCAAATTCTCCGGTTTGACGTCCCGATGAGCGATTCCAATGGATTTCACTGATTTGGACGCACTTGATGTTAAATCGAATGTCTAAGCCTCACAGTGCTCTAATGCGAGTAATCCGTCTCTGATAAAACATTTGGCCAAATCTTCAGAATATATTGAAGAACCATTCAGCACTGAAGTGTATTCAGGGCGAAATTCATCTGAGCCATTCGCCGGGTCACCGTTATCGATGAGGGTTTTCTTTGGGACCATGATGGATCCCAATTGCATGTAATCCATAACTGAAAGAGAAATCGACTTCAGGATTCCATCGAGTGGCAGCGAATTTTTTTTATCAAGCAAATTTCAATTGGCAACAATTTTGACAAGCTCACTCAAGTACAACTTTGTTGTTTGAAGATTGGCACTAAATTCCGGTGTTCTCTCTGTCAACAAATACGATGGCATTATTCTTGTCAGTGTTCCAATGCAGTGACAGCGAACCTTCCTCAATCGAATCGTCAACGAGCAATACATCGTGGAGCTGCACGCAACGACAATCAACATTTTCTCCAACATTCACGTCATTCTGCATTAATTGAATCTCTTGATAAACCTTGGAGAGAGCGGTTGAAACTCTTAACGTTCCTTTTATATTCCTGAAGTCTCGTTTCCTGTGTAACACCAGAGCGCTGTAGATTTTAGCCGCCTAACACCAGAATCCATAGCAATCACTCCCCGATCTCCACCCACATAATATTCACCAGTTTCTATATTCTGGCACAGCTTCACGCTCGCAAGTGTCCCTGCCCGACTAAAGATGATATCAATGTTTTGGAATCTGTCCGCATACCATGTCCCAATCTATTCCCGCCAATACGATATTTTCCAATCAGTTTTTCATCATTTTCATTCCGTTCTATCGAATAAAACCTCTTGAAAACAAATGAAGGAGTTGGTAGTTCCATCACTGGCCTGTGAATAGCTGCTAGTTGGTTTATCGAGCGCTCTGACTATCCATAAGTCACGCGACCTGTCCTAACAGAGTATGCGTCCCGAAAGTTCTGCACCGTCGATTTAACGTGCTACTTCGCCAAGGGGTTGCCCTGGTTTGACTTTAACTAAACTTACCTGGTCAGGAATGGCGCAGCTCCGCCATTGCGCTGTTCTATTCTCGAGCAGGTCAATGCACTCAGACGTCTGTAAAGGAGTACGAGCTCTCTTTTGGGGGTGTCGATGGCATAATTTTTGCTAGAGGTGTTTTGCTTTCGGGCTGGCACTAACAAGTTAATGTTCGATGAAGTTATCTGCACGACGGAGTTTCAATCAGGCTGATACAGATTGATCGTCCAAATCTAACTGTTACGCGTTAATACCAAGAAAATGGCGTTGACTGGTTGTAGAAGTTCCACCTCTAACGCTAGCAAATACCTTCATTCCAGTTAACTGGTTGCCTGATACCGCCTGTTCTGATCTTTGGTGGCAGAATATGCAATTCATGTTGAGGACTGAATGACAAGACAAGAAAGCGACTTGCGAGATTTTTTCCAATTCCGATTGTCTTCAAAGACAATACGTTCAGAATGAAGACGAAAAAAACACTGAAAAAAACACGCAAAATGAAACAGGGGTTTATACAACATTGACATGTAGCGCGATGGTTGCCGCTACTACAGTCACGGTTAGTTGTCTGGAGCTGGATGGAGCGTTTGTTGGGGGATCTCCCGTCAATTTGAACGTCAAATCTAATCTGTCTTGCAATTTCCATCGGTACACTTCTCACTGCTGTAAGTGATCGTATAGATTTTGATGTCATCGGCAGTTGGTTTCAAATTACATCTGGGAACTGTGTCTTTTCCGCGAAGAACCATCGTATTAACCTCTAGCTTCAGATCTTTATTACTGGCTGTGATTTCACAGTTGAAACTTTTGCAAATACCAGTGAAAGGATGATTTTCCATTGGGTGTCGAAATCCTTCGGAACAAAGGAGTTCGTCGTAACTCCAACACCGCGAATAGCAACAGACACGCTGGCTCCATGACCTTGTTTTTTCAAAGTTTTGACGTCGGCCACGCCCATAATCGAAATATCTCCCAAACTGGCCTTTTCTGGGATCTTTTCGACGATGTCGCAAGGATAAATGGCAGTACGTCTTTGCTGTGGCATCCAATACGACTTCGCGTGACGCGAACGGTTTGCCGCTTGCATGAAATTGGATGCCCAATTTTGAAACAGCATCCCCTGTCCCGCACGAAGTAGTTGTTCCTGTAACGGTACACTTCAAGAGCTAAAATTCCCTCCTTCCAATTTAGTACTGATTGCCCAACATAATCCGTTTCCACTCGAAGACCGCATCCATCCCCAAACGGCACATTATTGGTGACGAATTTGACAGGATATTTATTTATAGCTAGTAATGCAGCGAAGGCAATGAATTTCACTTTGGAGAATCAAAGAATGAAAAGCCATTCGACCACAGACTGCATGCATGCAATACATCGAATTTGTGTCTGAGAAAAAAAAGTTCGCACAGTTGTATTACTCTTCAGCATGCATGCGAGACGAGGAATCTCATAAAGCATTCTGATTGTGTTCTGTGGATCTTGAGAGAGACGGCAAGTGACACGCGGTAACCCATGGGGGTTCGATCACTCCAGCTTGCAGAAGATCGTCAATACATCAACAAGTGGCTGTTTCATTAATCAAGAACGAAAGTTAGGGGATCGAATATGATCAGATACCATCGCTGCCGACGAGAGATCGGAAGTTGTCAATTTGATCTTCCGAGGTTTGTGTTGATGTTCAAGGACTAAACAAAAAACGTGCACATGCCAGACAACGACAGCACACAGTGTTCTTTGGTGAACTAACTCCGTGCTCCACAAACATTGCAATGGTTGTCACTTCTCTCGATTCTGAGGGAGCTGTCTTACTCTTGGTGAATGTCAACTCTTTCTCGCACTCTTCATCAATACACTCCTATTCGTTCGATCAGATGGAATACGGTGTCCTTGTCTTTTGCAGGTTCCAGCCCACATTAGGGAACTTTGCTATTTCCGCGGACTGAAACTCGTCCCTTAACTTCACAGTAGCACCGATGAAAGGATGGCGGTTCAACCTTTTGACGGGATCTTTGTTGGGCGTCGCAACAACTCCAGTATCGCGAAGAACAACAATCAGCTCGGGAGTTCCAGTAGTTTTTTTGGGGCTTCATAGGTCGATCTGTGATGTGTTTGATATCGCAAAGAAGGAAGACCAACACGTTCCCTCCCCAGCGCCGATTTCCTTCTAGTGGGACACCTGTAGTAGTTTACCAACGCTGAGGTCAATAGTCAATGCGGAAACCTTGTTTGTATCCCTGCAACTTTGGAAACCTTGTAGATATTGTTTGAGCGTCCCTCAGCCCAAAGGTTTTTGAGGACTCTCGTCTTTTCACTGCAAGTGCATTGAAGTGGAATCATCACCATAAGCGTGCTTTCTTGGCAACCGTCAATTCCGCACATCACCCTGTGTCTTTCCAAGAAACTCTGCTGCTCCGCTGTCCAACAAAGCTTTATGGTTCAGTGAGTTGTTACGAAACTCAACAGACTACTCACCTCTTATCATATACTGGCGTCGATGATCAATCAATCCCTACAAGCGGAAGGTTTCCGCCTCCCTTGATAATCATTCAGTTGCCAGGTGCATTTTTCCGGTTGTCACTCTTTCGTCCAACGTCTCCCATTGTGAAAAATGCGACGTCAAAAACAACGACCAGAAAAACACAACCGCTCACAAAGTCCGTCTGTCTCAATGCACTCCTGTTCGTTGCAACTGATCACATAGAATACGGTGTCATTGTCTTTTGCAGCCACGGAGCTTTGCTATTCGCGGACAATGACCGTTGAAACTTGTTCCTTCATGACGTCACAGAGGTCTCTCAGAATAAGTGGAATAGCAAAATAGCAAACAAATGCTTTGTTAACTGTGGTTGTGGCAACAACCTGACTTTTATATCAATGTAGAGAGAACGGGGACGCAGCCATTGAGTGAGAGAGAAAACATCAGCACACTTTTCGGATACAGTACAACAGCACAGCGGTCCTATAGTCCCGCTTCACAATCCATGGTTGAAATAGAGGACTACACTAGCGACGAGGGAAAGCTTGAAAGCGATGGAATGAACGGTGTCTCAGTTCCAACGTCTCTAGAAACTTGGAACGACGATAACGAAATCTTGAGCCCCGAAAATGAGGAGAGCACCCTTTCTGCGAAGCAGTTGGGAAACAAGGTCCGTATGGACGTCGAAAAGCGATTCATTTAAGATCTATTTTAGGCATTTAGTCAAGAAAAGTATGAAGAAGCTGTCGATCATTGGAACCGTGGTTCCCGTAGCTGCCGAGTAGTCTTGTCAAAGAATGCGTACCAAGGAGCCCAAAAGAGAGAAGTCGAAGTTCTCTTGAGCTTGTTGAACTGCAACTTAGCGATGGGTCTCATAAAGCTGGGCGTAAGATAAACTTATGAATTGATGAACATTCTTCTTCGCAGAGATTTCAAGAAGCGGTTCATCGTTGCGACGATGTTTTGGAGTATGACCCTAAAAACATCAAGGCATTCTTTCGAAAAGCAAATGCTCTGGTTTGTGTTTTTTTTTGGAGCAGCGAATGGTTATTGTATTAATAATGCCTTTTCAACAGTTCCGTTTGGGTGAGTTGGCCCAATGCGTCAAGGTGCTCGATGGTCTACTAGAAATTGAACCGGAAAACGGAGCTGCGAAACAATTGAAAGCAAGAGCAATATGTGATCTTGCAAAAGTCAAACAGAAAGAAAAGAAAATGGTGAGTAACTTCATAAATTTTCGCTACTCCGTCAACTTTTTTCATTTTCCAGATGAAGCATTTATTTTCAACTATAGAAGCAGATCCACGCACTGTTTCTGAAAACTCATCGCTCTGGAATACTATAACTCAGGTTTGAATCACTTCATTCGTTTGATGCAGCCCTCCATTTTCCGTTTCTTTAGTTTTGTTTTGACCTTTTTTGGTGTAAGTTTTGTAAAAAGAGAAAGAGGCTCTAGATGCTCAAATATTCATTTTTCCCAGCGTTTGTCTTTTTTTTCTGTATTTCTATCGGACAGTGAGAAAGATGCACAAAAAAAAGAGGAAGCGATTAGTGATAATGCAGACAATGGAAAAATTAGCGTGTACAAAGAATAAGAAAACCTGAAAACTATTAGAAAAAAATGAATACAATTTATCAATTGAATCCAAGCAAGCGACTACCAAATTCAAAAATGCTTCTGAACGAATTTCTAACAGAATTATAGAAGGGCTGCAGTGTTGTAGCGATTGGCTGAAATGTAGAGCGTGTGGAATCGATTGCTGAACGCGAGATGGTTCCTGTTGCGTGCCCGAAATCAGACGCTAATTCGGATGCAGCACGCCGCGTTGTCCTTGCAATCCTTTGTCCTGATCGCATGCCCGATTGTAAGAAGTTGCTAGACTGGTCGATCGAATTTCCGAAAAAATCAAATAGCGGAGTGCCGCTGCTCCCTCTTGTTAAAAACTGCAAGCGACGCAATTTTGTTAGCGGAACGTGATTTGAATTACTGCTTCCGTTGCATGGTAGCAGTGCAACATCCGCAGCAAACAAAATGACTAAAAAACATATCGCAACCATTATTTAGAATCAACGATGTGAACAGGATTGAGGCGCACTCCGCAAAGGGTCCAGATGAGCTATTCTGAACTGACAACGTATCAATCCTTACATCATACTCAGCGCTTGTGGCATCAAATCAAGTCTGTACTGTTGGCAATCCTCACACACGAAATATCCAAGTTAATGATGTTGAACTGTCTCACATGGTTGAGTGATAAATATGAGCCTGACATCTCTCTTAATGGTTAGTGATAAATATGAGCCTGAGATCTACTGTTGAGGTAACGACGAGAGTGGTACGGCTCTCTTAACATCAGGTGCTTACCTGGACGACAACCTGTTAAACGTGCTTTTCATTTCGAGTCTATTGAAATTGTAAGAAGTGTTTTCTGATAGAAGGAATCGATAGGAACGTGCAGGTGTACACCATTTGTGACCAAAGCGTTAATTAAGAAATTTGTGAATTGTATTCTGTGAGTTTCTTGTTTGGAAATAATCCATGAACCTTCATGAATCCACGAACCATTATTGTCAAATTTTAGATTATATTGATATTCAAGCAAACATCATTTAACTGTGTATTCTTGGGAAGGTGATCCATTGTTAACACAGTTCTATTCATTAGTTCTATGTCGCAGGCAC